TTTCTGGAAATCAGGTCATCAGGTCTGTCTTCCATTCATGCACCACAAAAAAATAAATACATTTATTTTCTCACTATTTCAAATTACATCGAAAGCTCAGTTCTTCCTTTTTAAGTTATGTTAAGCAAAAATAATGTCGTATTTAAAGATCTGACATGGTTCCAACCTCCACAAGCTGTGTCTTCTGTGTGGTGTAGGCACACCTTCAAAGCAGAGCATACATAGCTACTACTATAGAGAGGGTAACTGACTAAGATGTGGGTTCTAAAACTCTGATCTAAAATGCATCCACCTGGAAGGCAAGTACCGGGGCAGGGACTACCTAGTGAGATGGCGGCCCCACACAGACACAGCTCTGCATGGTGGGCTGCGCGCATGGGCACAGAAAATATTTTAAAAACAACACATCCGTAAAATATTAGAAGCAAGTTTTTGTTCAAAAAGGTTTGCAATCTGAAAACTTCCAACTCTCTGTTTTTATCCCGCAAGTTGTATGATTCCTCTCCATTTTAGAGCAGAAGGAGTAAAAACAGCAGCATCAGGAAATGCAGCTCCTGAGGCCTGGAGAAGCCTGGCAAGCACCGGCACTCTGCGTACTGATGGAAGAGGGAGCAGATGGAGAGGGAGAAAACACATAAATCCCGTCGCATAACGAACCAAGAACAAGAAGGCATCAGGTAAGGCACATAGGGCGAGGGGCGGCGGTACAGAGGATGGAGAGCAGACACAGGATGGAGCCGTGCTTGTTAGGAATCCTGGGTTTTACAGAAGTCTTAAGAAGAGCCATGGATTCTAAAACAGAAGCCTACCTTTTCGTGTTTGACATGACCCACCTAAAGCACACTGCATTTTATCAAGTTTAGTGTTCAAGAAAATGACAACATAGCCAGGCGTTGTGGCTCACGCCTGTAATCCCAACACACTGGGAGTCCAAGGTGGGTGGATCACCTGAGGTCAGGAGTTCGAGACCAGCCTGACCAACATGGTGAAACCCTGTATCTACTAAACATACAAAAATCAGCCAGGTGTGGTGGTGGGTGCCTGCAGTCCCAGCTACTCAGGAGGCTGAGGCAGAAGAATCGCTTGTACCTGGGAGGTACAGATTGCAGTGAGCTGAGATCATGCCATTGTACTCTAGCCTGGGTGACAGAGCGAGACTCCATCTCCAAAAAAAAAGAAAACATAATAGGAATAAATACTGTTGCCCTTTAAAAGCCCTTCATAGGCCAGGTGCAGTGACTCATGCCTGTAATCCCAGCATTTTGGGAGGCCAAGGCAGTCAGGAGTTCAAGACCAGTCTGGCCACCATGGTAAAACCCTGTCTCTACTAAAAATACAAAAAAAATTAGCTGGGTGTGGTGGTGTGTGTCTGTAATCTCAGCTACTCAGGAGGCTGAGGCAGGGGAATTGCTTGAACCAGGGAGGTGGAGGTTGTGGTGAGCCAGGATTGCACCACTGCAGTCCAGCCTGGGCGACAATGTGAGACTTCATCTCAAAAAAAAAAAAAAAAAAAAAAAAAAGAAGAATGTTAACTATTTTAGGGATTTTGAATATAAAGATGTGGATTGTCCACACTTAAGACATACTTCTGTGCCTGGCTGAGAGCGTTACAGACCATATTTCTAGTGCAGAATTGGATTAACTGTAACACTGCTCTGCAAGCACATATAAACTAGTTCCTTTGCCTCACTACCCTAGGGAGCAGGGAGCGCGCGGGAGTGTCAGTCAAGGTATACCCTGTGTGCAGTCTTGATCGTCCCCTGGCGTGGCCGTGTCTTCCGTGGCCTTGCCCTTGGCCTCGTGCTTCGGCGCTGCTGGCTTTTCATGGAAACCATGGTTCTTCTCAACAGGAACTGTCTCCACATCGCGCGGTGGAATCTGATCTTCCATGACTGCCTCTCTAGCCTCCAGGTGCCCTTCTCTTCCCTGCACCCCCGAGGCTTCCTTTCCGGGCAGGGGAGGGACCATCTTGTGCTGGGGCTCTGGCACCGGTGTTTCCAGATGCCCCTCTGAGGCCCCAGGAGAAACGGCTCGCAGGTGCCCCCCTGCTCTGGCCTCTTCTGCCAGCACAGTAGGTGCTGGGCTGCCCTTCAGTGGCACAGACGACCCTGATTTTGTGTGGGCAGGTAAGGGTCCTTTAACTTCAAATGACTTTTGGCTTTCCTTATCTATTTCATTTAATCTAAATGTTTTCTGCAATCGTTTTTCCTTTAAACTTTGCTTGAAAAACTCATCTACTTGAGATCTGGGCACTGTGGTTTTTGCTCTCACATCTTCCCTGCCTTCTGATGGCTTAGCGGGTAGCCCTTTCTTCCTTGGCTGGAGGGGCTTCTCTGGATAAGTGACGTCGGCATGTGGCTTTTGCAGCGAGGTTTTCTCTTTTGCTGATACTGTAACTTGGGGGGCTCTGTTTTCAAAGGAATGAGAGGCCTCTGGTTTTCGAAGCCCCCCTCTGCCTTTGCTCACCACTTGAGAAGCGACCTCTGAAACATCAGCCTCGTCGTCAGACTCGGAATCAGAGGAGCTGGATGAGGATGAAGACGAAGATGACGCCACTTTCCGACCCACCCGACGAGCTTCTGAACCAGAGCCCTGTTTTCTGAATGGAGACGGAACTTTCTGTGGAAACTCTACCAAAGTCTTTCTGGACAAAAATTTCGGAACCCTTTCATCTGTGACCAGCATGCTGCCATCGGGGCTGGGGCTAGCTACCATCCCGCCCTTATTCACAGCTGGCGGGTGAGAACCGGGTGAAGACACATTTTTAGACAATTCAGCTGCTGTCTGGGTGGCTAGAAGCTTGCCCCTCTGCTTTGGTTCCACTACATCTGGGAAACGGCATAAAGAGGAATATTATTTAACATAATAACGTGAGACTCAGTCAAAATCACAGACATTTCATGACATATTACTTGTTACTGATGGTATCCTCAGTGTGGTCATCCTAAGGCCCCATGGAAACCCACTCTCATGTGAAAGTCCAGTCTCATAATCAAGGCAAAAAACAAGCAGAGATACTTTTCTTTGCAGCTGAAAATTTTTTTAAATGAGGATTTTCACTAATAAGAGTAACAAATTTGTCTCTTTTTTTTTTTTTTTGACAGAGTCTGGCTCTTCTGACCAGGCTGTAGTACAATGGCCTGATCTCGGCTCACTACAACCTCCACCTCCAGGTTCAAGCAATTCTCCTGCCTCAGCCTCCCAAGTAGCTGGGATTACAGGCACCTGCCACCACACCGGGCTAATTTTTGTATTTTTTTTTTAGTAGAGAGGGGGTTTCGCCATGTTGGCCTGGCTGGTCTCAACCTCCGGACCTCATGATCCACCTATCTTGGCCTCCCAAAGTGCTGGGATTATAGGTGTGGGCCACCACGCCAGGCCTGTCTCCATTTCTTCGCAGTGGCAGGTTCTCTGACAATAATTATTTTCTAAACAAGTTCATCAAATTTAAGACAGTTAAATTATAATCAAGGTATTTTCAGATTATTGAAATTTTACAAATGTATAATTTTTTCAGTTTCTAAAAAACGGGTGCTTCTCAAATATTTTTTAAAAAATCAGAACTTAAACTTTCTGGACAAAACAGCAAGGCAAAAGTATAGGCATGAGAATATTGCTGGAACCTGGGAGGCAGAGGGCAGTGAAGCAAGATCACCCCACATCACTCTAGCCTGGGTGACAGAGACTCTGTCTTAAGGATAAAAAATAGTTTATATCTTCCAGACTATAACAATTTCTCCTGCAGATGACGATGCAATCCCAATACAGGCTACAACAGCAACTTCCACTTACATGGGGCCTCTTGATGGAATCCAGTTTACCAATGAACGAGTCCTTCATGACAGAGCAAGAAACGGAAAAGGTAACCTGTCCCCTCGGCATTGCCTTTCAGCAGGAAGCAGCCAGAGGGACCCCACACCCCTCTTTACTGTGGGCATTCATTTTTACCTTTCTTGAGACCCTAGTAGGCAGCAGGCAGACATGAGCATGGGGGAATATAAAGGGTCAAAGATATGACCAAAATATTTGGGAGAAGCAGGAATGAGAAGGGTAAAAATCACCTGGTGACCACTGAACAGGCCTGGAAGACAAAAACTCCGACCTGAGGAACTGAGGAGGGAGTACAGACCACCTGGTGACCAGCAGACAGGCCCTCGGGAGGCTAAACTCCTTACCTGGGAATTTAGAAGTCATTACACCCCTAGTATCTAAAGCCAGCATCTGGTTCCAGGCCTCTTTCAACTTTTATAAGTCACAGAATTTCTATGCATCTCTGGAATGCCTTGCCGACACTCATTTTGCAACCCTTGCTGACACTAAGGCACCAAAATGCCTGCAATGTAATCATTTATCATGACCCACAGGGCTAATATGGCCCAGGTTAGCCTCAAACTCCCACCTTAAGGTCCATAAATGCTCCCAAGGAACAGCCACCACAGCGGGCTCGGCCCTCTCTTGCCGGCACCCTGCTGCACCCTCCTGCAGCATTCTTTCTGCTAAACTTTCCTTTTTTTTTTTTTTTGAGATGGAGTTTCGCTCTTGTTGCCTAAGCTGGAGTGCAGTGATGCAATCTTGGCTCACCATAAGCTTCACCTCCCAGATTCAAGTGATTCTCCTGCCTCAGCCTCCAGAGTAGCTGGGATTACAGGCATGTGCCACAATGCTCGGCTAATTTTGTATTTTTAGTAGAGATGGGGTTTCTGACCATGTTGGTCAGGCTGGTCTCAAACTCCCAACCTCAGGTGATCCATCCTACTTGGTCTCCCAAAGTGCTGGGATTACAGGCGTGAGCCACCATGCCCAGCCATCTTTCCTTTTTCAAACCTATACTGTTGTTGGTAAATTCTTACCAACCTCCTAAGTCAACCACTTGCCAGTGCTGGGGCTCTGACGCCTCGCCCAGCAAATATTATACGTGAACAGCATCTAAATCCAGAGTCTTGAAGACTAGGAGTTTACTTTATACTAAAAATATCACAATCCAGCTGGACGCAGTGGCTCATGCCTGTAATCCTAGCATTTTGGGAGGCCACGGCAGGTGGACTGCTTGAGGCCAGGAGTTAAGACTAGCTTGGGCAACATGGCGAAATCCTGTATATGCAGAAAATACAAACATCAGCTGGGTGTGGAAAGCGGAGGTGTGAGGATCGCTTGAGCTTGGGAGGTAAAGGCTACAGCGAGCTGTCATTGTGCCACAGCACTCCAACCCTGGTGACAGAGTGAGAACTTGTCTCAAATTTAAAAAAAAAAAAAAAAAAATCACAATCTTACTTCTCTCCTTCCCTAAAGTAGAAAAATTGTCCTCCTACCTGTCCTAACTGAACAGAATCCAAATGGGTATTTGTTTCCTGAGCTCAGGCACCTATGTTTAACAGACTAATAGAAAATGATCAAAGAAAACAGAGGAATTACAATCAGAAATGGCCGAGAGAGAAGCCGATGGGCATCGTGAGAGGCAATGGCTGAAGAGCCAGAGGAGTGGGGGACCCACTCCAGCCCCATCAGGACCACCCCCACCAGGTGTGCGCCTGGGGCCTGCATTTGGTCTGCCCAGAGCGGCGCTGGTGCTGGCCATTCTCAGAGCTCACACAGAGGTCCAGGGGTATGCTAAACATAAAGACGGGGTGAAGGGGGGGTCCCCCTAAACTGCACGGCTTGAACAGTCCTAATGGCAATGTCTAAGACACACTGGCCTTTAAACCCTCACAGCCCACACACCTGCATCATTCATTCATCTATATTTTGAGCATGAATTTTCCAAGTATGAAAAAATAACTGAAAATAAGGTTTATCTTAGGCTGTATTGAATAGAAAAATAATGACTACTGAATCTTCCAAAATTTGTGTGGAGATTTAAAAAGTTTTAATGAATATAAAAACTACATAGTAGGTTGATTTATTACCTACTGAAAATGGACACAAAATTTCAGATGGGATTAACAATGCTATGACTCACAAATTTTGTTTGAAGAGAAAATATTTGTCTATCATACAAAATAATGATTTAAAGTTTCTTCTGTTCACGTAAGTTCCTGGGAGAATCTGATGGAAAGGCTAACAGACAGCAGGAAATCCCCTCAGATCCTGAAGGGTGACTGTATAATAAAACACAGGCTGTGTCGGCCCATCTCACAGCACAAGATGGGGACTTCCAGAGACTGTTTCTCTTCTCTCAGAGACCATCACAGCCCATGTGAAATAAAGACGTACAAATATCGTACCAGTAAATAGTGCAGGCAGGACGTCTCCTTATTTCCCTACGTCCTCTCAAAACAGAACTCACATTTCCTACTCTCTTTTCTGCTTCCTTAAAAAGTGAGGGCATGGCCTTCAAGCTTTTAGTGATCCTCCTATAAGTAACAATGATAAGGGTGTGAGCCGTGGATTAGCAACTTAAAATACTTCCATATCTTGCCAAAAGGTCACAAAACAAACTTTGGAAACAAGGCCCATTCAGAAACAAAGGTGCATTTAAACATTACATTGGAGAATAAAGTTACTCAAATTTTACATGATAATGGAAACTTCTACAGGTGTTTCACTGTAAAAAGTTTTGTTTTTAAATAAACACATGAGAATCGAGAGTTTTCAGAAGGATGACAGCACAGTGATTAAAATATGAACTGCACCGCCAGAGTGCCTGGGTTCAAATCCAGGCTTCTCCACTGACACCTGTGTGGACTCAGGCAGCTCAGTCCCTCCACACCATGACTTCCTTGTCTGTGACATGGGGATGACAGGAGCATCTCCTCCCTGAGTTGCTGAGGACTGGGGAAGATGAGATATGGGGAAGTCCTTGGAGAAGTGGCTGGCACTGCTTGTTATAACTGGATATCTAACATTTCTTTTTTTTTTAGATGGCGTCTAGCTTAGTCACCCATGCTAGAGTGCAGTGGTGCGATCTCAGCTCACTGAAACCTCAGCCTCCTGGGCTCAAGTGATTCCTGCCTCAGCCTCCTGAGTAGCTGGTACTATGGGTGTACATCACCACACCTGGCTAATTTGTGTGTGTTGTAGAGATGTGGTTTCACCATGTTGGTCAGGCTGGTCTCCAACTCCTGACCTCAGGTGATCCACCCAGCTCACCCTCCCAAAGTGCTGGGACTACAGGCATGAGCTGCCGCACCTGGCTGGATACATGAAATTTCTATTTCCAGATATTCCTCACTTTTAAAACTGAAACAAGGGCTTCAAATGGTTAATTCACTTTGGCTTCTTAACATACTCTTCAAGAAGCTACACAGAAATCAGTCAACAATTTATTACTGACTTCTGCAAAGTTAGGGCTGGGTACTGGATTCAAGGAAAGCACAGAGCTGGAGAGCCTGGCGGCTCCCTAAAGTGCACCTCCAAGACACCCCAGCCTCTGACACCTGCGCCGGCAGTCTTCCTCTGGGAAGGCGTGTGCTGGGGAAGCTGGACGGCTCTGACGAAGTGAGGCACGGCACACTCCATCGCCCCGGGGTCTTGTCTGGTGGCAGACACTCTGACTAGAGATGTAATTCCAAGGGTGAGAGCTTGCGTACCCTCACCTGGACGCAGGAAACTTCTGTGAGAGCTTCCAAAGCCACTTCCAGCTGAGAAAGGCATGTCTTACACTTATCAACTACCAGCGCTTCAGGGGAAACATGGGCCTGCATGTGTCCATTTAGAAGCATTATTTATTTGTCTTTGTACAAGGACTTTTTGGTTTGGTGGTTTTTTTTTTTTTTTTTTTTTGAGACGGCTGCGGTGCCCAGGCTGGAGTGCAGTGGTGTGACCTCGGCTCACTGCAACCTCTGCCTCCTGGGTTCAAGTGAGCCTCCTGAGTAGCTGGGATTACAGGCACCTGCCACCACGCCCAGCTAATTTTTGTATTTTTAGTAGAGACAGGGTTTCATCATATTGGCCAGGCTGTTCTCAAACTCCTGACCTCAAGTGGTCCACCTGCCCCGGCCTCCATAAATGCTGGGATTACAGGCGTGAGCCACCACGACCGGACTCAGTTTTTATTTTTGTTGAGACAGGGTCTCACTCTGTCACCCAGGCTGGAGTGCAGTGGTGTAATCATGACTTACTCCAGCTTCAACCTACTGAGCTCAAATGATCCTCTCACCTCAGCCTCCTAACTAGGACCACAGGTGCACACGACCACTCCCGGCTATTTTTAAAAATTTTTCCTAGAGATGGGGTCTTACTATGCTGCTCAGGGTGGTCTCAAACTCCTAAGCTCAACTGATCTTCCTGCCTCAGCTTCCCAAAGTTCTGGGATTATGGGAATGATCCACCATGTGCAGCCTGTACAGGAATTCTTTTAAAAATCAGGCTGGACGTGGTGGCTCATGCCTGTAATCCCAGCACTTTGGGAGGCCAAGGCCAGTGGATCATGAGGTCAGGAGTTTGAGACCAGCCTGACCAACATGTTGAAACCCGTCTCTACTAAAAATACAAAAAATTAGCCAGGTGTGGTGGCATGCTGTGTAATCCCAGCTACTCAGAAGGTTGGGGCAGGAGAATCACTTTAACTCAGGAGGCGAAGGTTGCAGTGAATTGAGGTTGCAGTGAATTGAGGTTGCAGTGAGATGAAATCATGCCACTGCATTCCAGCCTGGGGATGGAGTAAGACTGTCTCAAAAAAAAAAAAAAAAATTATGAGATGTTACAACTATTATGTGTATTGACAAGCTTAGTTCTGAAAACTGTCCTCCCACCTGAAAGGACTCTGCAGTGTGCACAGTAGCTACGCGTAGCCCACTGCAGCCAGTCTCACCACCACCCAGTGAGGCTGGTAGCGCATCCTGCTTACGCACAAAGGAACTGAGGCTCCGAGGCCTGCAGGGCCCATCAAGGCCAGAGGCAGAAGCTCCACGAGAGCCCAAGGCCCACTTCCTGGTCAGCGTTCCCCTCCCCAAGCCACACCCCAGATGGTCACAGGATGAGGCACTCCATTTCCACTCACACACAGGTGCATGTATCTAAAAAGGGAGCTCTTTGGCTCTGCCATATTTTAAAATCCATTTAATCCAAATTCAGAAGTCTATGATGTAGGATTGCAGACACAGACTGAAATTCACCGAAGGAGCAGATAATGTTAGTAATGAAATTGAACTAATTGTTCATCAGTAAATATTTAGAGAATGTCAGAAACGTGCCAGGTAGACTGCGCACAGTGGCTCATGCCTGTAATCCCAATACTATTGAAGTTTGAGGTGGGAGGATCACTTGAGCCCAGGAATTCAAGACCAGTCTAGGCAAGATAGTGAGACTTTATCTCTATGGAAAATTAAAATAATAGCTGGGACGGGATGGTGGGCACCTGTAGTCCTAGATACTCCAGAGGCTGAGGTGGGAGGATCACTTGAGCCTGCAAGGTCGTGGCTGTAGTGAGCTATGATTGTGCCACTGTACTCCAGCCTGGGTGACAGGGCAAGATTCTGTCTCAAAAAATGAACAACAACAGAACATGCCAGGGATATACCAGGTGTGGCAGCATGTGCCTGTAGTCTTAGCTACTCAGGAGGCTGAGGTGGGAGGATTACTTGAGCCCAGGAGTTCGAGTTTGTAGTGAGCTATGATTGTGCCACTGCACTCTACCCTGGGAGAGAGGGCCAGAGCCCCTCTCTTAAAACAACATAAAAGGAAGAAGAAAAGAGAAAAGAACAAGGATTGAAAAAGGAGGCAGGAATCATAGGACAAAACTAAATAACGTTCCCATGGAATCCAAGCCTCAAGTTGATGCACTGTGAGAGGCAGTCAGGGGCTGGCACTCTCTATAAAACATAAATTTTAAAAACCTACCAGTGTTCTGTGCACTGACCAAGGAAGAAGAAAGCCAAAGAATCTAAATACTTCCAAACGTTCAAACTGAGGAAATAAGATTTTGATGAGAGTAAGACTGAACTCAATTATCATTCTACAACCTCATATAAGAATTAAAGATTTATAGAGACAGTTTGTGCCACGTTTTTTTTTTGTTTGTTTGTCTGTCTTCTGAGACATAGTCTCACTCTGTCACCCAGGCTAGAATGTAGTGGTGTGATCTCAGCTCACTGCAACCTCCTCCTCATGGGTACAAGTGATTCTCCTGCCTCAGCCACCTGCGTAATGGGACTACAGACACGTGCCACCATGCCTGGCTAATTTTTGTATTTTAAGTAGAGATGGGCTTTTTCCATGTGGGCCAAGCTGGTCTCAAACTCCTGACCTCAGATGATCCACCTGCCTCGGCCTCCCAAAGTAGTGGGATTGCAGGCATGAGCCTGTGCCTGGCCCATACACATGTTCTTTCAAGAGTCAATTAGGGTTGTAACAATTAAGGCTAACCGCAATGGACCTGGACCATAATCAATTACCAATAAGGAGCAGCAAATAGAAAATAAAATTATTCTCAGGAGAGAAGCATTTAAAATATAAAATATACTGTTGCATTTCTTATTTTCCCTCAATGAGAATATGCTGCACTGGTATTCAGGGAGGGGAAGAAAAGGTAAAGAATTTGGTGATAAAAGTCAAAATGACCGTGTGAAGAGCTGGAAACATCATGTATCAGCAATGTGAGTCAGAGTGGAAAAAACACCGGCCTGCTATTAGCTCAGTCTCCACAGTCATAAAACGATGCTGCAATCCTGGACTGGGACTACGCAGAGCCTGGAAAACCACAAATGGGTCTCAGAGAGACTGAAAAGTCAGCATCAGAGGAAGGAAAGTAAGGTGGCTTTTGGGCAACTTCACTGTGTCAGGGCCATCTAAGTGTCACAGAGCCCTTACCCAAAGCATCACTCACTCCAGGTTGGGGTTTGGCATTTAGAAAATACAAGAAGAGCCATTTCAGGGCTAAATGTTGAGTCAGACTATGACATCACTGGTGTGCTTGGTCTAAAATCTGTGTCTCATATAATCTGGACACTGCTGAAAAAGAAGCAGCATAAGTTATGTAGCCAGTAAAACTCACTGTCATGCTTGGAAGACTGATCTATTTACTTTTTGCATCTCTTTCCCTTGTGACTACCATCAAAATCTTACTTTTTGGTGTACTTTGCTTCTTGGAATTCTGTGGCTGACCCTTTTCATGCTTCCCTGATTCCGCAGACAAAGAAACTGTAGAAGCAAGTCCTCGAAACACATGGGCTTCCTGGAGGAAAGTCTGACAAAAGAATTAATAAATATGGATGTTTAGAGTAATGCTATTATATAATAGTTGGTACTACATATGAATACTTTTTTATATTATTTTGTTTTGAGTTGGGGTCTCCCTCAGTCACCCAGGCTGGAGTACAATGGCACAATCATGGCTCACTGCAGCCTCAACTCCTGGGTGCGAGTGATCCTCTGACATAGCTGGGACTACAGGCACGCACCACCATGCCTGGCTAATATTTTTTATTTTTTGTAGGGACAGGATGTGGCTATATTGTCCAGGTTGGTCTCAAACTCCTGGCCTCAAGTGATCCTGAAACCCTAGCCTCCCAAAGTGCTGGCATTGGCCAGGCATGGTGGCTCATGCCTATAATCCCAGCACTTCGGGAGGCTGAGGTGGTCAGATTACTTGAGGTCAAGAGTTCTCAGACTGGCCTGGCCAGTTCCATCTCTACTAAAAATACAAAAAAATTAGCTGGGCATGGTGGTGCATGCCTGTAGTCCCAGCTACTCCAGAGGCTGAGGCAGGAGAACCGTTTAAACCCAGGAGGTGGAGGTTGCACTAAGATTGCACCACTGCACTCCAGCCTGGACAACCGAGCAAGACTCTGTCTCAGGGAAAAAAAAAAAAACAACCAAAGTGCTAGGATTGTATGCATGTAGATACTGTGCATATGAATACGACATATTACTACTACATATAAATGTACGACATGCACGTAGTATACTTCTAATGGTACTACAGTTTTCATAATGTATATTGTGGACATTTTGTAAAATACAAAAATGCTGCAAGAAGAAAATGCCTGAGTTCAAGGACAATCACTATTAATATTTGAGTTACTTTGGGAGGCCGAGGCGGGTGGATCATGAGGTCAAGAGATCGAGACCATCCTGGTCAACATGGTGAAATCCCGTCTCTACTAAAAATACAAAAAACATTAGCTGGACATGGTGGCGCGTGCCTGTAATCCCAGCTACTCAGGAGGTTGAGGCAGGAGAATTGCCTGAACCCAGGAGGCGGAGGTTGCGGCGAGCCGAGATTGTGCCATTGCACTCCAGCCTGGGTAGCAAGAGTGAAACTCCGTCTCAAAAAAAAAAAAAAAAATTTGGGTTAATGAAACTCCAACCAGATGTTTTGCTGTGCATATTCTTTTGTAGTCTCTAATTACTGATAAACCTACAAAATACTACTACATTTCTTTTTTTTTTTTTTGGAGACGGGTCTCACTCTGTCACCCAGGCTGGAGTGCAGTGGCGTGATTTTGGCTCACTGCAACCTCTGCCTCCTGGGTTCAAGTGATTCTCATGCCTCAGCCTCCCAAGTAGGTGGGATTACAGGCAGGCGCCACCACATCTGGCTCATTATTTTGTATCTTTTTACATTTTTTTTTGAGACAGAGTCTCATTCTGTCGCCTGGGCTGGAGTGCAGTGGGGCAATCTCCACTCACTGCAACCTCCGCCTTCCAGGTTCAAGCGATTCTCCTTCCTCAGCCTCCCAAGTAGGTGGGATTACAAGCATTCGCTACCATGCCCGGCCAATTTTCTGTATTCAGTAGAGATGGGGCTTCACCATGTTGATCAGGCTGGTGTTGAACTCTGGGCCTCAGGTGATCCACCTGCCTCAGCCTCCCAAAGTGCTAGGATTACAGGTGCGAGCCACTGCAGCCAGCTCTAATTGTATTTTTAGTAGAGATGGGGTTTCACTATGTTGGCCAGGCTGATCTCAAACTCCTGACCTCAGGTGATCCACCTGCTTTGGCTTCCCAAAGTGCTGGGATTATACGCGTGAGCCACCCACAGGGCCCTATGTTTCTTTTTGTAAAATGTTTTCCTGTACTTAGAAAATAGAATAGAAGAAATACTATCTGGCCATTAAAATGATGTAGGTATATAATAACTGCTTCAAACGTGTCTACAATATAAGTGTTTACATTTTATATCTTGCCAAATCACTCGGCATATATTCACTAAGGCCTACTAAGTGTGAGACAGTACAATGTTCTAGATGCTGGATACAGAACAGAGGTGCCTGTATGTGCACATAAAAACATTAAAACATTTATGTGGGTGATTGTAAGCATGAGTACATGTGCTTATGTGAATAAAAGCTGATAAAAATCGTTAAGAACTAGATGCTTGAAGGAGTAACTGTGGACTGCCAATGTATTTCCCTCCCTATATGTACTTTTAAATTATTCTGCAGGCTGAGGCATGAGTTGCTTGATCCCGGGAGATGGAGGTTGCAGTGAGCTGAGATCGTGCCATTGCATTCCAGCCTGGGCTACAGAGTGGGGCTCCATCTCAAAAAAAAAAAAGGGAACAGCTATTGCTTTTGTAGTCACAGCCATTTTTAAGTTTATAAGATAATGAAGTGGCCTTAGCCTTATTTATTTATTCTGTCCCCCAGGCTGGAGTGCAGTGGCGTAATCTCTTCTCACTGCGACCTCCGAGTCCCGGGCTCACGGGATCCTCTCACCTCAGCCTCCCAAATAGCTGAGATTACAGGAATGTATCACCACGCCTGGATAATTTTTTGTATTTTTTGTAAAGATGGGGTTTTGCCATGTTGGCCAGGCTGGTCTTGAACTCCTGAGCTCAAGTGATTCGCCTGGCTCGGCCTTCCAAAGTAATGGGATTACAGGCAAAATCCCCAAGTGCCCGCATCCGGCGTGGCCTTAGCTTTTCATTTGCAGAAAAAGAAGCCCTTCCCCTTTTCACGGGTCAGGTCATGTCAGCTGGCTTCTCAACAGCTGTCAGTAAGCTACTGTGTTGACCAGGTCCCTGACAGTTCTCTCATATCCTCCCTTGGCTAAATGGGGAAGTCAATGTCCTTAAAGAAGCCAAGCGGGAGGCCGCACAGCGGCTGACCCCAGCTGCGCGGCAGCATCACCTGGAAACGTCCACCCCTGTCTGCCGCCTAGGCATGCAGCCCTCAGGAGCTCCCGAGGTGACTCGGGTCCAGCGGGGGACATCACTGCGCGGGGTGGTAGGGCGGTCTGCACTGGGCACGCCGGCCTCGGACAGCTGCGGAGGCGGAAGGGAATGGGGGAGCCCCGGGACGCTCGCCGGCTACACAAGGCCTGGGCCCATGACCCTCAGTCCTGGGCCTAGGGAGCGGAGTCATTGGCCCAACCAGGAGGACTGGAGGTCGCGCAGAGGCCTGGGCTGACCAGCACCGCGCCCCCTCACCCCATTCCCTACGCGGGCTCAGGGCCGCGTACCCAGCCCACGCAGGCTCATCTTTACCTTCAGCGCCCCGGCTCGTCCTTGCTGCAGCAAAAGTGGGGCCGCCATAGCGGTGACAGCAGGCGCCGTAGTCCGGGACGCAACAGCTGCGCGCGCACCCCCGCCTGAACACCCGCCCCTTGGGCCGAGTGCGCCAATCACAGCCCAGATGGGGGCGGAGCAATGGTCGTGGGCCTGCGCACGCATCCCCAGTGGGGCTACGCGCCGCGCTCGAGGCCACGCCCCATATCAGAGCCACCAATCAGAGGCAGCAGCGTGAATGCGCACCCAACCTCTTCGCACTTCTTTCCCCTTGTCCTCGCAGCCTTCAATCCGAGACTTTCCCCAGGGGCACAGCCTGGTCTTGGTTCATTGATATTCCTGTGTTTTGGGGCGTTTTAAAGCTCTTCAGCTCGCGACCTCGGCGTCCGCACCACGCGCCCAGCTCCCTCACTCTCTGCTGGCAACGCGGCCTCCACTGCTCACTGGCCATCCTGCACCGCCCCTGCCAACGCTCATACCAGCGTTAGGCTGATGGGAAACGGAAGCTTTGTTTCACCTGAATGTTTATGACTTTCAGAGAAGAGTTCGCCCCCAATGTTAGGCATAAATATGGAGTCAGTGTAATTAGTTATTAGCTTCCTTCTGTGCCTCTTGAATTTCCTGCCTCCTTTCGCGTGCCCAGCACCCCATTTGCAATTCATCGGAAATGGACATGCCCACACCTTCAGCTTCCACAGAGAGGCCATGCCATAGCCATTTAAATGAATTGTATAGGGACACCTGACTCACAACTAGAGATTCATTGAGGTGGCAAGATAAACTGGCAGAATGAGATGCCCTCAGGCCCTTATCAAAGAGGCGCCTGGAATCAAGTAAATGCAAGGGAACCTGCCACCATTCCCTGGGAGGCAAAGAGAACAACCTTAAATCTTAGGATAATCACGAGAAGGGAATCCTTTGTACCTAAAGGGAGAAGGTAAAAAATGCCAACAGATTTAAAAAAAAAAAATTTTTTTTTTGAGTCGGAGTTTCGCTCGTTACCCAGGCTGGAGTGCAATGGCACGATCTCGGCTCACCTCAACCTCCACCTCCTGGGTTCAGGCAATTCTCCTGCCTCAGCCTCCTGAGTAGCTGGGATTACAGGCACGCGCCACCATGCTCAGCTAATTTTTTGTATTTTTAGTAGAGACGAGGTTTCACCAGTTTGACCAGGATGGTCTCGATCTCTTGACCTCATGATCCACCCGCCTGGGCCTCCCAAAGTGCTGAGATTACAGGCGTGAGCCACCGCGCCCGGGCCGCCCAAAGTGCTGGGATTACAGGCGTGAGCCACCGCGCCTGGCCCCTAAAATTTTTAATTTTTTTTTTTTTTTTTTTTTTTGAGACAGTCTTGTTCTATTGCTCAGGCTAGAGTGCAGTGGTACAATCTCTGCTCACTGCAACCTCCACCTCCCAGGTTCAAGCAATTCTCCTGCCTCAGCCTCCTGGGTAGCTGAGACGACTGGCATGTGCCACCTCTCCTGGCTAATTTTTGTATTTTTAGTAGCGATGGGGTTTCACCATGTTGGCCAGACTGGTCTTGAACTCTGGACCTCAAATGATCTGCCCATCTTGGCCTCCCAAAGTGTTGGGGTTACAG